GTGTGTGTGTGTGTGTGTGTGTGTGTGTGTGTGTGTGTGTGTGTGTGTGTGTGTGTGTGTGTGTGTGTGTGTGTGTGTGTACTTTGATACTAAACCCCCACGCGAACAGACGTGGCGAGCTGCGCAGAAAAGCACATCAAACAACATACCAAAACAATAAATCGCCCACTTCATATGGCATGACCAAAACAAGCAAACAAAGAGAAGCTGAATGCCCTACTATTGAAGCCAAACAGACTAGAACATGGGGAGGGGCAGAGAGCAGCAAACAAGAGGTAATGCACACTGAGGAGACGTACGGGACACATAAATGACAAAGAACAACAAAACACGTAGGTTGGAGGGCACAGGGGAGGCGGGCAGGCACAAAAACACATAGGAAAAGGCAAAGACAATGAACAAAGATACCAGTCGCACCCACGGAAGAAATAGACATAGGCTAGAGGGGAAAGGTGAGGCGAACAGGTGCATAGACAACGCAAGTCAGCAAAAGCAACAACAGTAGATGAAAAGACAAATGCTGAAAAAAATAACAACTGATGATAACAAGATTGTTTCGTCGGAGTTGCACCGACTCATCAGGAGGCTGAACCCTCGACAATCTGCAGAATCTCCGTATTTGATGGTTTGGGTCATGAACCCGTTGACCCTTGTTGAAGCCGGACTGTCCCCAAGCAGAACATAGCAGCGGGCAGCAACCCTGTGGAGCACCAGGCAACACAGTAGAGGCAACACGGCTGCACAACGCCAAAAACGACTGCAAGGTACAACATGGCACGCAGGGCATGCAGCACGGCAACCGTGTAGTGAAGCACAAGACAACACAAACAAGGCAACATCACTGCAGGGAACGACAGGGCGAGTGGACCAGCAGGTCGGCAACCGTGGAGCAGAGCACAAGGCACCAGCAACAAGGCAACCAACCTACAGGGCACACAAGCGGCAAGCACTGAAGGCACGGCCACCGGATGAGCAGCATGGCAGCGGAGCAGCGAAGCGCAAGGCAACACCAACAACATGGCCACACCGCACAGCGAACACATCAACCTGCAAAGAACCACATGCGGAGCAAGCGGGACAGGCAGCAGGGCAGCGGCGGAGTGCAGACGAGGACGTCCACACATCCAACACGGAGCAAAGCAGCACATGACCTACTCGCATCACGATTGAACCCCGCAGACTGTTGGTGTTCACCACCCACTGAGCCAGGGAGTCACTCCGACGAACATCCGTCATCAGCGACAAGCAACACAGACATCCCGAACCGAGCAGCCCCCATAAAATGCAGTAGGCACTCCAAACGAGGAGCCACCGACTGTTTGGCACTACTTAAGGGTGCTCAGTTAGGCACACAAAAAAGTTAGAAAAAATCAGGGGAAGAACAGACAACAGAAGAAAGACTGACAGACATAAAACTGATTGTGTGTGTGTGTGTGTGTGTGTGTGTGTGTGTGTGTCGGTGG